CACCGGAACATGCCGGGTTGTTCTTTTGAAGTTGTGTAAGTAACGAAAAAATCGGCACCACTTTTCTTCTCGTCACTGTGGCGATATGATCAGGTCAACTTTGACCAATTTTGACGAGCAATTCTGGGCCGCAGATTCGTACGTATTGTTACGGAGAAGAGATTAAGTGTCGTTTGACATGGAGGCTGGGTCTTGGCTACGAGAGAAGGGCTACCTGATGGGCGGGATGGAGCATCAGAGAGTAGTTGCCGGCTGCCGGTGCCGAAGGTGACGAGTGATGCTGTGGGCCGTCGAACTTGAGTGAATAACATGAGAAGGAGCCTGCTCCGGTGCCAGCCTCAGACGAGGGGAATAGGACTGGCAGAGAGGACTGTGAGGCCAGCAGCATTGTCTGGTTGCCACAAGGGCCAGAAGTGGATAGAGGGTGTACCAGTTCAGTGGGGTTCATCTGCCCGAGTGCGGGAAACGAAGACGTCGACGAGCATGAGGGGGGCGAGGAGGAGGAGGAGGAGGAGGAGAGGGAGTAGGTGTAGGCCTGTCCGAGAGGATTGGAATGGGAGAAGCTGCCTGAAGGAGGGTGGGTGTATGCGGGACACGAGACTGCAGGCATAAGAGGCGATTCCGGCGTGCCCAGACGCTGCAGGTGATCTTTGTCTGCCAGACCGGTCATGAGCTCGCCGAAGCGGGAGGTTGAACGAGCTGTACTGTATGTCTCTTCTGGGATGTTGGCGGGAACCGTCTGCTCGGGAATAAGCATGTACAGATACTTAATTTTGTATACAAACGAAGACAAAAATTGTATGCCTATCAGAAGGCAGAGCACAAGTAGAGATGGATAAATGGATAAAAATAATTCGCGATTCACACCGACGCCTGGATGGATGAATGTATGCATGGACCTTTTGACTCAAAATTGGCTTAACCCCATTATCACAATTTGGTCGGGAATTCAGGAGGACTTGGGATAATTTTCTTCATTCGGCGTCCTCTGACAGAAAATTCATGATAATTTCCAGCATCGGACCGTTTAATTGGTACATTCTCATACATTTTGCCATTAGCATCAGTGAGAGAAAGCCATTTCAGACCACTTGCATGCATGGGTTAGATTATAGGAATGAAGACCAAGAGGATGATTCTTTCAGTCTCCTTTTGCGGTGTGGACCTAATTGAGTCGATCCTGTTGTCAAGTTGACACCGTACTGCACCCTATGCCAGTTATGCCATGTCTTCTGCCAGATGAGAACATTCGAAGACATTATGCAGGCATCTTAATTAGCATCGTAAACGAGAATCGACAACTCCAACACCGACAGCTTTGACGAATTGCAGTTTTGAGTTAAGTATGACCCTTCTCAATGACGATGCTGGCGGGTTGGGAGGACCTTTATCCAACACTGGCAGAGGGGCATTTAATTCAAAGTTGCCATGGCAACACGACAATGTAGTGAAAACTAGGTCATATTGAGACAAAGTA